TTTTTTAATTTTTCTTCGTTAAGGTAGAAGCAAAATTCCCCTACTTTTAGGAAAAATTTGGACTTTTGATTTCAGATAAAAATCGAAAAACTTATCATGACTACCGCGTAAGCATTTTCTTGTGGACGATCTACTTCACGACACTGCCAACGCCTTAACTTATACTATAATTTCATTAAAATTTTCTTCAAATGTTGTCCACATATTGCGCTTTTATACGTAAACAAAATAAAATGCACACTTAATTTAGTATCTTTTAAAAACATTAGAGAAAATAACCTTTTTTTTTGGCCTTTAAGACCTATGTTACCCCTTAAGCTGTTGCCGGAATCTCAGTGAATGGTGTTTGCCGGCTGGTCGGTATGCCGTCCTGTTGAGCGATCCCTGGCCATGGTGCTGAGTTAAGTCTGTGTGGTTTCCTATTTCCTTCCTGATGTGCTTGGGGTCAACCCCAAGTAAATGTCTGCTAGGCTGCTACCGATGAAAATATACCAGCAAATATAGCTTGCACAGCATAAAATTATGCTCCTTAATGTGTAGCACTGAGATTTCACTGCGCAAGTGAAGTTCCGGCGACATAAGGAGGTTCGGGCGGTGAAGTTCTGACATGCATGTCAGTTCTTCAGCTGCGTGTGTTATCGCAAGTCTCCGGCATTCAAATCGAAGCGACGTAATTTGCTTCCTTTAGTGAGACGAATTGGAAGAGTTCTGCCATAAAGCAGCAGCTTATAGTGGGCGATTTCTGGCCAATCCCACCGAATACACAACAAGCCTTTCTGGTCTTACAATCTTGGCTTGATTTTTTTGTGCAATACTTAGCTCCTGAGCAATCCAACCATGGGATTTCGACAATTGGCTTTACACGTCCGGGAGAATCATTTACTTCAAAATTACGACGTTACCAAACTTGTATACGGTTGACACTATTGAGTTAAGTGATCAGCACTTCTGCCTTTACCTTTTTTAGTACAATGTATTATCTTTCTAACGCCAACTAGTCATTTAAGATATTTAGAACGGAACTTTCCAGTTCGGTTCAAGGGAGTGAAGCAGAAACAAGAAGTAGTACTACTTCGATAGGAAACCTCCTCATGTCGCCGGAGCATACGAGTTAAAGAGCATAATGCTTTGCTGTGCAAGCAGTTCCTATTGAAATGTTACCGCAGGCACCTAATAGAAGCTGAACTTCAACAGAGGCACATCAGAAAGGGAGTACTAGATCTAAAGGACACAATCCAGCAACATGTGCAACAACCGCCGCACAGGATGGCGTACAGACAAGCACTGAACGCCATTCACCAGAATACAGTCAACACCTTCAAAGACTCCCTTCCGAATGTGTGAATGACGTGCTCGGAGAAAAATCACTATCCATAGCAGACAATGAGCTGGCCCAATTAAGGTCTGGTTCACAAAGCTTGTACTATCTATAAAAAGGCCGGACTCCAGGGGATTCCAGTTGAGCATGTAATCTCTTAGTGGCATTCGGAAGACAAAGAACAGAAAAGCTAAAGGGAACGAAAAAACTACTTCAGTTCACGAGAAGTACGGAACTGTTCTTCCCACTAGAGACACAATGGGAGTTCTTGCGCAACTTGGTCGGATGTATGTAGCTTGTGTGGCAACACTTTAGATGTCTATGTGAGGCATCGCAACCTAACCTAACCTAAAGCCAATTCGAGGTACAGACCACTGGAGAAGTCATCTTTTGAAAAAAAATATTGATTGAAATTCAACAATATGAAAGGAAAATCATTTCAGCGTAGTAAAATTTTTTTTTGTTCGAAAACTGTACTTCCAGTGTGTAGTGTGAAAGGTTTCGAACTTCTCTTGTGACGTTTTATCTATTTAATTATGTAAAATAGACTACAATCGTAATCTACGCTTTGATTTGCTACAAATATGATTAATTGTATAAATTCCTTAGGGTATGCACATCCACTTATACATATACATTTATTTACCATGGCACTTGTACACTTACAGTACTTTACATATTTACTTACATCCAAAATCTACTCAATTAAGTTCTTGAAACGCAAACATCGAAAACTCCCTCCTGAGAGACTATGCCATTACTAATTTGCTTAATTGCCTTTGCTTTGCTGCTGGCTCGTTGTTATTGTTGGCACACATTTCGGACAGGTTTTGACATTTCGATTGTCAACAGTGAATAACTTGCAGAAGAACTCTTATACAATATACATTGTTTTTGTAGTTGTACGCAATTTTCCACGAGTTGAACCGAAAACTGAAGAAAAAGTTAAGAAAACGAGGTGGAGAGATGTGAGGGAATGGAAGTTGAATTGAAAAACTAAACAACGCGAGCTCAAAGATATGTACACGCATACACACACGCACATATAGTTACACGTAAACGCGGATAAACTTTAGTGGTCATGTTCCTTCTTAATCAGTCCGTTCTCGCGCACAATTGGCAAATATAAACTCTGCTGTATTTCCTTGTTCGTTCGCTTCAACAAACTTCGTGACGCAGAAAAACCGCGCGTAACTTGGCAAATTCAGTTTCGCGCTTTGTTTGTGGAAACCCAAAAAACATTTTAGGTTTGAGTTCAGTTGGAGATTGAGTTGAGAAATGAGCGGTCACACCGAGGAAGTGTGATAGAATTTGCCATTGAGACCAACATTCTCTACTGAGAGCCAATACGGTTTTTGTTTTTAGAGAGCTCTTTTTTTAAACTCAATTGCGCTTTAGAAATACGACGGAAATCACTAAAAATTGCTTAACGGTAATAAATTCTAAAGTCTCTCAGAAATAGATATGCATCCATTTAACCTAAGCCGGGGAAAGAGAAGGAAAGTTATTTGGGATTTTATTTCAGAAATAAAGGTATCAGCGGCTTTTTTTTAATTTAGTGAGTAGAGAGGACTCATGTTGGTATCTCAAATATGAAATACAGTCTGGAAATTCCTGCGTGACTAAGGGAACTTTGGAGTTATAATGATGACCTCTAGAGCTTGAAATTTTATATTCAAGAAATATATTAAATTCCTTTTGTATGATATTGAAAATCACTGAAAATACTGAAGAAATAATAAAAAAAAGTAGTAATTTGGCGTTCTCAAACTTCCAAAAGTATTTGAAATGAAGTTTTCAAAAAATTTCTTAATGGTTTTCAAGTAAGGAAATTTCTGAAAATGTCTCCAAAACTGCAAGGAAACATAAACAGGTTAAATAAAAAAATAATAAGCGAATATAAATATGAGAATACCCATTCATTGAAAATCTCTCCACTTTGTATTAAAAAAGTCTCCTTCAAATCAGGGAGATGTAAACTAATTATGAACATATTAAATTTGTTTTACAATTCAAAAATTTTGAAATTTCGAATTTGAAACAGATGAATATGTGAAAATTATTCAGATTTCTTTAGCAGTAAATATAAAGCTTTCTAATTCTGCGTAATAGATTTGAAAATAACTTTCCAATTAATAAAAATTATATATTTAAATGTGTAGAGCATCCCAAAAAATCTTAAAAGAAAAATTTATGTATCTTAAAATCCTCTTTCAAATTAGCTATTTCCTAAAATATCTCAAATTCGAAAATTAAAAAGTTTTTCAAATTTAGGCATAACTTTATATTGCCAGCATGGTAAAATAAGTAAATTCTCTATAATTTTAACAAAATTGAAAAACAAATCCGAACTATGAATATTTTAAAAAATTGCACAAACTAAAGATTTTTATATTTTCCAAAATGTCTCCAAATAAAACAAGAAAATTTTCAATTTGAAGATGTAATTTAGTTAGAAAATCTAGGTTTTCAAAGCAATTGGATAATTAGAAGATATTTCGCATAAATTTCAAAATATTAAAAATTGAGACTTTTTCAAATGTCTCCAAAGTTTAGTTATCGCAAAATTTCTACAATTTGATGTTCACTTTTAATATTTCAAAAAGATATCTTAAAATTTCAAAAAATGTTTCTGGAATTAAACAAACTACTTCACCTGTGTACTAGATATTAATTTAGGACAAAAAATTTAGAAATAAATCCCAAAAAATATTCTATAGTATAACTTTTTTAGACGCTCGAATTTTTCAATCTGTTTTCAATCTGAGTATGATATTGTATCCAAGATTTTAACTCTTCATTTTCCCTGCTTTTCAGAAGCTCGTCAACTATTTTTTAATTTTGAAATAAGCAAATTTTTCAAAAAATCTCCAAAATAATATTAAAATGCTCTTTATTGGTTTCAATTTTGTTAAAAAATGTCTCCAAAATCTTAACTTTTTAAACTATAATTTTTAATGCTTTCCAAGGGTCAAAAGTTTTTCTTGTTAAAATCAAAAAAAAAATTATAAAAGAATGATAAACGTGGTATGTGCCTACTGTTACTATATCCATTGTTGGAAAAATATTTAAGATATACATCAACAATGGAAGGGGGAGCTCGGCCGAAAATTGCTTCAGCGCCAATCATATATATAATTGGAGACTTTTTTAAAATATGATTTGGAGAGTTTTGAAACTCTACAAAATTTAGAGAGCTAGTTTTCGATGAAATTACATCCAAAAAGAAAAATTCTACATTAAAAAATTGTTGGAAGCTTCCAGTACACCGAGTAACTGTAGTGGAGAGTTTTGAAATCTCTCAAAAGCTTCCCAGGAAATTGTTTTGCCTTTGACATTCATTGGGTAGGCGCTTGCGGCAGTTATAGGTGTGTTTATCAATATGTTCATATATGTTGGTGACATGTTAACGCTTGTTGCCTGCGATTGGTTTGGGTACGATTTAAGCCCAATGGCTCATTGGCTCAATATGACTCAATGAGGCTAAGTGGCAATGAGTGGCAGGTGTTTAATATGCCACAAAAGTAGCCTCATTCGTCCGCCACTGCCGCTGCTGTATTCGCTTAGGTCAATTTTTCAACACATACACCTACTCACATGTAAACATATATATACACCCACACGCACACCATAAAAATTGTTGTCAACTTTATTTACAAGGACTTTCCATGTTTCATTGCAGCGCTTAGGAGGAGTGAGCGAGAGAGCAGAGCAGAGTTAAAGAGTAAAGAGAAGAGAAATCAGCAGCATACCAGCCACAAGGGCCTACGCAAACAGTTACGTAAACGAACACGCACCGTAATAAACGAAATTCCAGAAACATGTTGGCCACCGCCACAGCAACAACAACAGCATTAACAACAAACAAGGCAGAAAAAACACCAACAGCAACTATACCAAGCAGGACAACAATGTCTACAACTGGCGCAACAATGACAACCAACGGTATCTTGATAACAACAAAAGCAATAACAAGAAGTGATACAACAATAACAACAATAGCGGCAGCAAATAAAAAAATACAACAAGTCGCACCAATGACAAAAACAAAAGCTATCTATTCTGAGTCATCAGCATCAGCAGTAGCAACACAACCTCACACAACACCAAAACCAACAACAATTACCTCAGATCCAGGCATTTTATGCTTTCATCATTGCAATGTAAAAGTTTTCTGCTTCCATCTGCCCCACCGTTGCCCCAAATGCAAACAAGTATTAGACACGGGCATTGATGATGCTCCTGCTGCTGCTGCTGCTGGCAGCGATGACGATGCTGACGGCAAGGCTCGCGACAATGTGGATGAGTCTGACTATGTTCGTGGTAATAAGGAATTGGTTAGCCATGGCGCGGGCGCTGGGCGTACCCGTGGGTGCCGCGGTGGTGGTGGTCGGAGTAGTACGTTTCTTGGTGCTTCCATCAGCACACGCTTGTTGCCGTTTCGCTTGCCTTATCCGTTCATACGTGCCTCGCAATATCCCTGTGCGATTGTTTTGCGTCCAACCACAGGCGATTTCCTCAAGTGAGTAGCAATTCCTTTGTATGACCTTCTTTTGGGCAGTATTTGTGCTTTTTTTCTTTACTTAAGCGTATATGAGTAGCAATCTGTTGTAAGCATTTGTCCAAAACGCAGTATTAGACAATAAGCCCAACATTCATCCGAGGTGTTTTGTTTTCCCCCCTTCGTCAATGGCAGGTATTTGTAGGACTAAAGTCTCCAAATGGTATTTTTCATTTCCGTCTGATATCCTGTTTCGGAGTAATTGCGATGGCGTGATTTACAGAGCGAGCTTATTCACTAGCCGAGTTATTCCGGAAACTCATGTTTCAGATTTCATTTTGGTGCCAAGAAAGATTACTACATCTTCCGACCACGAGGTGATGTTTCATGCTAAGTCAGTCGGATTAATTGAAGAGAGTCGTGTAGTTATTGCAAGCGAACCGACCAGAGACGTCTTGACTAGGCGATTGGATCAGAAAAAACATCTCTAAGTGCCACTCTGAAACTTATCTGTGATTTCCCTTTGAATACCTTTAACACTTCCTCCTCCCTAGAACTTTCTTCGTCGGGTATCTTCCTCTGCCCCCCATTTTCTTCCTCTCTGGATCATCCTTCTACATAAATCCTCCTACTCTGATCCTCATCCATTTAATTTCAACTGAGAGGTCCATATAAACATTGGTAGGCGTAATGTTCATAGAAGCAACTTCTCCCTCTACCATCTCCTTCCTGGATCCTCCTAAGAATAACTCTTCATAGACATTCTTAAAATAGAACTTGACTCAAGAACAATATTTGAGTTACCACTCTGAAGCTCATCTGCATGTTCACGACCGGCAGAGTCCCTCCCTCTTTAGACCACGATGCTAACTTCTTCCCGGGATCTTTTTTTTCTACATCTCTTTTCTCCATATGTCATCCTTCTCACCAGGTTTTCCTCCTCCCTGCTTTTTCTGCTCAATATAATTCCACTTTAGACATCCACAAAACCCTTTGTAGACATTATGAGCATAGAGTTGGATAAGGCGCAGCATCTGTAGTTATCTCTCATCTCCTGGGATCGTTTTCTTTCTCGAAGCTTCCTCCTTCGTAGATTTTTTTCAATACTATTTTAGCTAAAGAGATCTTCTTTCAAAATACTAAACATTTTAGAGGATGAATTTGTGCGAAGGCTCTGTAGGTCTCGCGATCTTCCGTTCCTCGTCCAGGAGTCTGCTGGAAGCAACGAAGCGTAGACAAACTGGGTTTGAAGCTACCTGTTGCGGACCTTGTAATGGCTTTTCTAGTTAATGGTTCCCCTTTTCGTCTAAAAGCTCTAACTTTCAACTTGACTTAGACATCTCTCTTTCAATCCGGTAAATTAGTTTCCTGCGATATATCTTAAATCGCTTTAACGAGCAGACCCAAGGATTTGTTATAACTAATGACGTATGTTTATGTACGAGTTTATGCTCTTCTATTCCACAGTGACTACAACAACTCAACCGATTTACATATTGCCGTAACAACCTCAACCGGTTGTGTTGTGGAATTCGATCGGCATGGCTTGCGGCGACACCGGGCCGATAATACACGCATGTCCTCCGAATGGTGGCAATGTCTGCTGGTGGGCGATGTGCCGGAGCCGTGGTATGACTATTGGGATGATATATTGCGGCAGGTAAGTGAAACAACAACAACGACGAGACTACAACAATTGAGCATAAAACATAGGTGTACTAAGCTCCAATGCACGCTTCACTGCCTCGCTGCAAGCAAATGAATGTTGGGCCATTTGTAGCTAACTGTATATCTATATGTTTATATGTTGCAGACTTATTGTTGTCGTTTTGTTTGCACAAGCGCTTGTGTGTGTATGTACAAGTATTTGCTTGCATCCCTTTACCTTCGTGTGACTGCTCACATCTGTCTCATCTTCTCTCGCCCGTAGATTTGTAATCAGCCCGATCGCTGGACCGTATCCCATTACCAGGAGGATACCCACAATTGCTACACCTTCGTATTGGCATTTCTGCAGGCGCTCGCCTATGATAAGCTCAGCGCTGCAGCTGGTTCGAAAACGAGCTTCTGTGAGAAATATATAGTTCCTAGGACCACGACGGCAGGCAAATATATATCCTTGTATCGCAAGTTGCGTGATACGGGCATTTATGTACATCTGCATCAACAGCAACAGCAGCAGCAACAACAACTACACAACCAAAGGTTTAAGCAACAACAAAAACAACAACACTACTATAACATACAGCACAACCAGCATCTACAGCTGAAATACGTGGCACGTGGCAAGTCGAGAATGAATGGACACTTCAATGGCGTTGGCGGTGTTGTCGGTGGCTCCGCACTGCTGGCTAATGGCAATAAGGCAACCAGTATCATTTTACGTGCACCTAATCTTTGCACCATCGAAGAATGAGAGTGAAAAAGGCACTCGCAATGAGAGTTCACTACCACAGTCACTAACTCACAGGCATACACACACACTCACACATATATATATCTATATTCACCTCCTCCACTAAGTCATGCTCATTTATTTCAGTCAGTCAGTCATTCATTCATTCCATTCACTTATGTACTTAGGAGGTCGACAGTAACCATGTGTAAACCAATTAATTGAATTTGCTGCGCTGAGGGCGCGGAAGGCAAGTAGGCAGTGGTGTATTGTTGGATCCCATTTACAAGCAAGAATACAATAAAAAGAAAACACAAAAAGAGAAGCAACAACAGCCTCACCCTCAGCCTGATTAGCGCTTAGAGTAGCTCAGCCCACACTTCTATACGTATACCTGTGTAAATGTGGTCTACTCGTGCAGGCAATCCCCTTCATGTCCTTCTTTCTAAGCAAAAAATGTTCCTCAGTGTTCCAACTTAGTATTGTAAATACATATTCTACAATATTTTTGTGATTATTCTAATTTCTTTTGTTTTGTTTTATGTTATTTTTTTATTTAATTTAATTTTTTATTTGTTGAATTATTTTATTTTGTTTTGTTTTATTTTATATAATTTTACAATATTTTATTTTATGTCATTTTACTTTATTTTGTATTGCTCTGTTTTATTTTTTACTTCATTTCATTTCATTTCATTTTATTTTATTTTATTTTATTTTAATTTGTTTTATTTTATTTTATTTTATTTTATTTTATTTTATTTTATTTTATTTTATTTTATTTTATTTTATTTTATTTTATTTTATTTTATTTTATTTTATTTTATTTTATTTTATTTTATTTTATTTTATTTTATTTTATTTTATTTTATTTTATTTTATTTTATTTTATTTTATTTTATTTTATTTTATTTTATTTTATTTTATTTTATTTTATTTTATTTTATTTTATTTTATTTTATTTTATTTTATTTTATTTTATTTTATTTTATTTTATTTTATTTTATTTTATTTTATTTTATTTTATTTTATTTTATTTTATTTTATTTTATTTTATTTTATTTTATTTTATTTTATTTTATTTTATTTTATTTTATTTTATTTTATTTTATTTTATTTTATTTTATTTTATTTTATTTTATTTTATTTTATTTTATTTTATTTTATTTTATTTTATTTTATTTTATTTTATTTTATTTTATTTTATTTTATTTTATTTTATTTTATTTTATTTTATTTTATTTTATTTTATTTTATTTTATTTTATTTTATTTTATTTTATTTTATTTTATTTTATTTTATTTTATTTTATTTTATTTTATTTTATTTTATTTTATTTTATTTTATTTTATTTTATTTTATTTTATTTTATTTTATTTTATTTTATTTTATTTTATTTTATTTTATTTTATTTTATTTTATTTTATTTTATTTTATTTTATTTTATTTATTTTATTTTATTTTGTTTTTCATAAATAGTTTTTTCTTAGTATTCTTTGACAAGTTAAACTTCTTTTTGGTTGTTCTTGGTGTATTTTCCTATCCAATAATTTTGGTCTCTCTTGTGGCTTATATATTTTTTAGCTATAAATTTTATTTTTAAACTAAATACTTGATATTTATGTAAAAGAATCTTAGTTTTTTGTGTAAGTTATTTTAAAGAAGTCAATAAAATAATTAATTTAATTAAAAATGAAACTTTTTACTGCAGCTTGCCGTCTATAGATTTAATATTTTGCAAAGCCTTTGTATGAAAAAAAATAAAAAAGTATATTTATTTTTGATATGGTAAGATGGTCAGAGATGTCAGAAAATTATTCCCTTTTTGAGGATTTTATTTATTATCTTATTAAAAATAGCTGTTTACTTATATTATATTTGAATTATTCGATGAAGTTCATATACATCATTTGGATGAAAAAGGTTTAATTTTATCCATTTCGTAGTTCCAAAAGTACAGGAGCGCATTTTGATATGTGTCAAACATTTTGGACCAAAAATAAGATACCATTTTTCACAAAAAATTTAATTATTATATATAAATTCATCTCAAAAGATAAATATATCTATATTGAAAAAAATATTTACATCAGCAACAATGAAATCCAGCGGAGAATTACTCTTACCAACAGAGACTACTTTGATCTGAATAGGCAATTGAGAATTGAAGTCGTCTCTCATTGAAGATGGACAACATCTGATGTGTCTTCGTTAGGAGTTTTTGAGAGAACGATTTTGGGTGCACATCGGCAACGGCGGATATCGCGACGACATTGACATTATTCAGCCAATCAAGAGGCAGCAATTACGCTGACTCGCCAGTCCGAGCTTGATGAGAACGTTCCAGCTCTGAAAGAAGCTTGAAAGACTAGGTGGGGAAGGAAGAGAAAGTTTAGGGGTACGAAGAGAAATTGGAGCTACTAAAGCATGAAAGTCTTATCGTCAACTATTTCAGCAAGTAATTACTTAAGTTTACAGAAGCTAATAAAACTTGGTGATCGCTTTAGACTTAGAATCTTGCCATATTTTATTTGTTTTGTCTCTAACCTCTCAGCCTTTATTTGTGCCTGGAAAAATTTATTATTAAATATCTCACCTTTTAGTTGATCTCTTGAGCTGCTTTCTCCTCCTCTTCAGCAATAAATATGACTGCCAAATTAAAAATAAAAAAAATATTGATGAAGAAATGCACACACACATACATACAAAGCCGCGAACTAAATTCAACCGCATTGAATAAATGGAGCGCAACTTGGCTTTTCGAAGGGAGAGATGGCACGAACGCCGAGGGCGTGCGATTACCTCATAACCTAGAAAGAAATGAAAGAATATTATAAGCGACCAAGAAAAACGAAAACAACAACAGCAAAAAACAAACAAATTGGCAAGCGTAGAAATGTAAAAGCAAAGAAGGAATAAAAATAAATCCGATTTAAATTCACAACGAGCGCACAAGTCAGGCGCCAACATAAAAACAGCAACAACAACAACAACAAGAACAAAAATTATCCGCGCCTCTTTGCAATGGCAAATGGCAAAGAACAAACAATGCCAACAATTAATGCTGCAGCAAAACGGTGAGTGCAAAAAGTTAAAAAATCAGAATAATAATAATAATAATAACAACAACAACAACAACAGCGACAATTACAAAAACACATAAGCAAATTACAAAAGAAAAATAATCAAAGGAAAAAATTCCTATGAAAACAATACAACGGCTTAAGTGAAAGCAGCAACAGAAGCAACAACAACAGCAACAATATTAACCTCGACTACGAGCAACAACAATAACAATTGCCACGGCATTCGCAGTGACGATGATAATAATAATAATGTCAGCACTGCCTGTTAACCGTTATGGCACATAGCGACAACAGCAGCAACAACAACAACAGCAACAACATCTATTTGCAACAATTATGTTTATAAATGAAATCGTTGCATGTTGCCGCTAGCAGTTGTTGACATTAATGCCACTTTAATTCTGCGGGTGGGGGTCAAAGGGGTGGCGGTAAGCAGCAGCAGCGCGTACGGCAAAAGTTTAAAATAACGCGACGCTGTGAAAAATCGCCAACATTGCTAGAAGGATGAACGAGAGCAGCAATTGTTGGTGAAAAGTATTACTGCATTCAATTGCAAAAACAACAAAAATAAGAAAATTCTGAAACTGCAGTAATTCTAATTTTGCGAAGAGAAGCGGCAAATTGCAAACGACAACAATAAACAATAACAACAACAGCGGCAATTGTACGCCCAGTTGGTTAGCAAAACAATGGCAACAGTAAAGCATTGTCAGCAAAAGGATTATTTTGTGTTCGCCATTTAACATTTGTGTATGTGCGTGTGTGTTTGTGTGTGTGTGTGTATGCAAGAATTTTATTTAAACTTTTCTAGCTTCTATTTCATTTTTTTCTTCCTTTTTTGCTGTGTTTTTTTTTTTTTTTTTTTGTTACCTTTTCTCTATTAATGTGAAAAGAATGCGGCATGCAACAATTTGTGGCATGCAGCCATAGAAAGTGAAAAGGAAACCTCATTAAAATTTGTGTCAAAATCGCAGCAGAGAAAAAATAAAATAAATTAAAATAAATAGAAAAATAAAAAATACTGCTAACGAGTTCAGAAAAAAATGTAGACTGCGTAACAGCTTACCAATGAATTTAAGCCGCAAAGGTTGTTAAAACGTTGTAGTGCGTGTTTTCAGCTGAAACCTCTTTAAATTTGCGAAATTTAAGCGTACCCGCAGAGAATTTAATGATTTTACTTTTGGTGTTAAATTTAGGAGAGTATGTTACTAGTTACACAACTAGTTATTTCGGGACTAGTTGAGTTTTTTTATTTGATTTTCATTTATTTTTAGCGAATTTTCACAAAATAAAAAAAAGCTGACTAGTCCACAACTAGGTACTTTAAGGTGAGTTTCCGGGTTCAAGTTATTATTGCGTACATTAAAATAATAATATTATTTATTTATTTATATATTATTTGGTGCAAAGAAATTGCGCGCGTTTATTTACATGCGAATCATAATCCAGAAAAGAAAAGAAAAAAAAACTTGGACTATGAAAGTGTTTCTTAGATTTAAAAAAAAAAATTATGAAGGTTTAAGTGCTTAGCATAACCTTTAAGTTGGCATAGTCAGTAATCAGTAAATAAATATTAAACGATTTCATTCATTTAAGTTTTTAGCAAATATGAAACTACCCTGGTTTGAACTAGTATCGAACTAGTTATCTTGACATTGCTTGTTACATTTCGTATTTGGCTTTGTTTTAACGAAATTTTCCTCACGAATTTAATACGTAAACTTATTAAGCACTCAACGTCATGCATGCTAATTATGAACTAGTTACTTTGAGACCATTTAAACTACTTGTTCTAATTTGTGTACTTTTTCGAAGCAAATGCGAGGCAATTTTATGTACAGAGCTGCACTTTAGACGACAAATTTAAAGTGTGTTGCATTTTAAATCTTAACTTCAGGCAAACTAGTTCGTAACCAGTTACAACGGGTACAGTTCGGCTCAACACTGATTTTATTTAATTATAACAAATATTACTAGCTCGCCAAAAATTTAAATGAATTGTATAATTTCTTTGCAACTAGTTCGTCACTAGTTACATTTTGTTATACTAAATATTACTTATTTATTTATTGTTACTATTTTTCTTAACATAAGATATTTAACTTAAAAATATTTTTTTTTAGCATTTTTCTTGTCTCACAAGGCCTCATCATCAGCCATCTACCTGCCTTCATAAACCACAATAACAATGTTGTCAAATGGAATAGTGCAAAATTTAAAATGTAATCACTGAATAAATGGCGAACTTTGCAAATACTGCAAACGAAATGAAAAATACAATTGCAGCAAGTGAAAAAAGAAAGCGAAAAAGTGCAAATTTAAGTCACAGCATAGCGTTTGCAAGAGTAAGCATAAAGGGGGAAGAGAGCCTGAAAGGGGCAGAGTGAGGAAGAGAGAGAGAGAAAAAATAAAGTCGA